AGATATTTGCAAGTTGCATATGAACTCAGGGACGGCCCATAGCGCTGGCATTATAGATGTTCGCCTAGGGCGCCAGATCTGGGGAGGCGCTGCGCTGGCAGTTCTGGGAAGGAAAAAAACATGTTTGACCGTTGGGGCTAATCCTAATTGTCGGCCTTGATGTAACAACATTCATAATTAAGTAAATGTAATACCCTTTTCACCCCGGTTACACGTTTAATTTGCCCTGTACGATGGGCGCTGTAAGTGATGAAAATGGGGGATGTTGGCTTATCTGGCGCCCGCAGCTCACAGCCAAAATGCGAGTGAGCGAGGGAGAGAGGGAGGGTGCACAGGTACCGGCGCTGTTGTTATTAGAATCTGGTGCGAGCTGCTTTAACGGATATAAGAAGAAGATGTGTCTACAATAATGTGGAGGGAGAGTCCTCTCCAGTCAGACTGAGAGGCTGATAACTACAGGTCAGTGAGGTAAAGGACTCTGAGTGTTCAGATAGTTAACTTTAGTCTAAGTTCAAACGGTTTGGTCACAATTTATGTAAACACATATTTCCAAGGCACTCCTTTATAATTATTGGGATAAACAGGTTTGAAATCATTCCAATGTATACTATAGGACAGTAACCAAAAATATCCTTTAAAACTGGAGAGACACAAAAAAAAGGCATAAATAAATAAATGTTAAGGTAAAATAAGATATGAATGAACAACACAAATAAAATAAGTTACCGGTACATTAATTTGTTATTGGCTATGGTAGGTTATTGGTTATGTTCACTGCATGTGTGTTCTCTGTTCACCTCTGCATGTGTGTTCAGTGTCGTGTGTCTGGCAAATAAAGTCAAGACCCCCTCAAAAGTTACGGTTTATTTCATTTTAAGGATGAGCACCAAGCAACATCTCCAGGTGCTCCTTTGAGAACCAGGGCAAAAAAGTTATGTGCACCCCTGTGTATTTGGTAGTCCAGTCGGGAACTAATTTGTTATGCTGCCATCCTCACGATCGCGCCACCGGAAGTCTGAATAAAAGATTTTTATATTGAATCTTTCCTTTTATTTTGTATTTGGTTTCCAATTAAACTCCCACTAAAAAATAGGCAACCTTTGTTATATTCATTTTTAACCTGTGTCGTGGATAATGGTATTGTGTTGTTATTCTTTCAGCAAAAAACACATTTTAGTTTTCTTTCGTTATTTCTATTAAGTCTTCACATTAGATTTGACACATGTTAACATTCCATTAATCTAATCATAACAAAAAATATTGAATGGTAGAATATATGAAAAGCTCTAATGGTAGACACATTTCTACAGTTGCACAGTATACATTGTCATATCGCCATTCCTAAAATACACTTAAGTATGTTTAACAGCAGATTGCTGCACTGTCTGGATGTTGCTTGAGAGGAAATTATATCTAGTCTCTCTGTGCTTCCTAGGCAAAAGTCGTTGCTTGGAGGAAATCTTACATTCCAACACTCCGTTGTTACGGGCAGAGACACTTACCTGGAAGTTGGTCTCCTTCCAACCTGGTTTCTTGGCCAACATCCTGACCAGAGCCTGGCACGGCATATCCGCCTTATCCATGGTCTCGACAGCCTTAAAGCATGAACAGTTCAATATTAATGCATATTATTTTATAACAGGTAGTGACGCTTCAGAAGTTCAACTTCTCCTCTTTATTTGCCGTGGACTGTTGTGATGCATTCAAAAACTTTAACTACTTGGCATCGCTTGTCGTTAGGGGTGCAACAACTAATCGGCTTAAACGAATAAAATCGATTACCAAATTAGTTGCCATCTAATTCAGTCGTCGATTCGTTGGTGACGTCATCACGTTTGTTTTACGCTCTGTTAAGCTCTAACGTTATTGGTCTTTTTATCGGTACTGGAGACATTTAAAAAATATATGTCATATGTATTATTGCTACATAAACATTATATCGCAGTCTTAGTGTCGCCAACTTGTTTCTAATATGCAAAAAGAAAACAAAAATGCGTCTATGATGTACTTTCGAACTTTCCAATCGAGACGAGATCTCTCTCCCCCGTCTGTGTGCGAGGGGGCGGGGCAGTTTACACACACTCGACTGCTACATGCAGCAACACACGGCGGGGATGGCGGAGAGAAGCGCTCCAAGGTGTGGTTAAATGTTACCCGTCTCGATGTGGACAATACTCGTTGCCAATAGTGTTTAGCATGTAAGGGCGGTAACACGAGCAATTTGTCTAAACATTTAGCAAAAGTGCACCACATTCAGACGGAGAAATGCAACGGGTTTGATTGTCTTTCTATTAGCTCTGTAGCCCCGTCCACGAATAACTTTTCCACGTCAGCAACACACGCAGCTAACAAAATTATACAAACATTGGTTGATGATTAGAGGTAGCTGAGTTATTTATTTTGTTAAAGTTTCAGCTATTCTGTTTACAATTTTGTTATCACATTATTTAATACGATTTGTTAAAATATTGTTGTTTCTTTTGACGTGGAATATTATTTATTCAATTAAATAAAAAGCAATGTTAATTTTGTTTAGTTAATTTAATAATATATGTATTTTTTAATCAAGTATTCATCTTTATTGTCTTCATTGTTAGTTTCCACATGCCTAAACAACTTCAAGCTAAATCTAAAAGTTGATGGCTAAATAAGAGCGTTTGAGAAATTTGTGCAAGGCATAATAATCCGAATAATTGATTAATCGTTTCATTAATCGATTATCAAATTAGTCGTTTGTTGCAGCCCTACTTGTCGTGCCAAAAAAAGAAGGTGCTTTTAAAAAAAAAATGTTTCCAATATACATATTTTTTCAACAATTGATAAGAAAATGACATGACACACTTTCAATATTTCGTTGCATGTTTTTACTATGGGTTTAACATGCAGATTTTTTGTCTAATATATTTGCAAAAATAGTCAAAATACCCATCACAATAGAGTCAATGGTGAAGCTTTCAAATGCTTGTTATATTTGACCAAACCCAAAGATATTCACGTTACCTTAATATGACAAGCAAAGAAGATGTTCTTACATTTGAGAAGCTGGAGTAAAAGAAAATGTGGTATTTTGCTTTTTAAAAAAAATCAATGATTTATCTATGATCACAATAAATGACCTTTTTTATGCCGGTTAATTCCTCAATTATTTGGTTGTAGCAGCACTAAACCATATCTTTTAGGGACATCTGCTCGAGCATGACAGAATTAGCGGTCATCAAGAAAGAAATAAAGACCTCACCCGCTGAAACTCCTCCATACATGCCAGTCTCTCCTTCCAGTTGGCTGAGTCTAGCTGCTGCATACAAGAAGCAGGAAGTACAACGGCTGCCTTCTCCTCACACGCTTCAGCCTGACAAGTAAAAAAAAAAAAAAAAAAAAAAGTTTCAATGGCAATATACTGATACTGCTTAATCTCTTCTGTAGTATAAATTCAGAGACAGTGTGAATAATAACTATTAAGTGTCCAAGTAAGCCATGTCAGTGGAAACCAGAATCGAACGTCATGTAATGTGTTTTTCTGCGACAGATGAAATACATCTCTTTGAGGGAAAGACAAACCAGTAGAGTCTCCTGATTTTTGTACTGCCGAAAGGAAGAACTACCAAAGTGCCAGAATGTCAATGTGAAAGGCTTAGGAGGAGCAGAGGTTGTTTAATATTACGGTGACGCAACTTTAAAAAAAAAAAAAAAAAAAGCCTAAACTCCAAGATAAATTCATGCAGACTTACAGAGAATTCCGTCTCGATGAGATCTTTACTTTCAGGGGCCTTCTTTGATTTTCCACCCGCTGTAGAGGCTGGTTTGCCTTTCTTAGATGGAACTGCTGATGACTGCAGAAAGAGACTCAACACTCAATACAATTACATGTCACTAAGTTTCTTTAGGTCATAACAAGCAGCAACATTCAGGTAGGACCAGGTGACAAATATTTATTTTGATTATTTTAGTTTGCTGGTTGTGCAATATTCTGAACATACCTTGCTGGCCGCAGCTTGGGCCTTTCTAGGTGGGGCAGAATATTTGGTTGGAGCTTCAGCAGGGGGAGGGGCTTTAGCTGCTGGCTTCTTTTCCCCTCCTGCACCCTTTTTACCAGCGAGCTCCACTTTATCAGCAGACTCTTTTATCTGGTAACACATGAAACAAAATGACAGTGGTGAGGAGATATTTCTAGCTGATGAAGGATTTCACTCCCTTCTTCTACTGATCCTTACCTTTTCCAGTTTGAGTTTGTCCAAATCAGAAAGGAAAGGATTCACAGCTTTCTCCCCCACCACTTTCATGGCCGTCCCTAAAGCTTCAAAGGCTGCATCACGCACCTCTGGAGCGGAGTCATTCACTTGCTGAGGTGGTGAAAGAGAAGAGTAGATACAAGCTTTTAAAGGATGACATTTGAAATAAAGTGTGTTTCTACTTTGTTATGATGAACTGCCAAAATAATCCTATATCCCAGTCCTGTTTATTGAGTCTGCAGCCACAATGCACTACTACAATTGTTTTGGACCATTTTATTTCTACTCATTTTCTTTTCTGTTTTGTATTGTTTTATGTCTTACATATATTTCTGTTGCATTGTTGAAGGAGCCTGGGACTTAAATTGTCATAATTACATTGATACTTCTGTGCATATTAGGGATGTTAAGATTCACATCGGTGCACCGGCATAAACGTTCAAGATGCGAGTGCACCGGTTGAAAGAGTGCACATCGACTACAGTTTGGGTTGAGCTCGCGATGCATCGATTGTAGCATCTTTGCATCAGTAAAAAACGATTCATTCATATAATATATCCCCTCATCCTGTCAGCACTCAGCAGAGACGATCTTTGATCTTTGCTTCGCCACTACGGAGGAGCAGTGTCATAGTCTACACACATGGAAGTCGAGGAGAAAGAGAAACACAGCGCACCGAAAAATACCTACAAATCAAACGTTTGGCAACACTTTGGATTTTTCAAGAAAGACGGTCACCTTGAAAAATCGCAAACATTACATTACATTGCATTTAGTTGACGCTTTTATCCAAAGCGACTTACAATAAGTGCATTCGACCAGGAGTATACAACCTTGAAGAAAACAGAATCATATAAGTACATCAAGTTTCATAGAGAACAAACAAATTGTAAACGATGCCGTGCCGCTTTAAAGTACACAAGTAGTACGAGGAACTTAGCGACGCACATAAAGAGGCGACATGGGGTCTGCGGCTGAAAAGAAAAACCTGAAAGTTAGAGATATGAGTTCAATCACTCAGAGAGGTGTTCTGTCAGAGAGAGGTGTTTAGCTTACAGCAGCCTGTGACTGTCAATAATAGTTTAAATGTCTTCCTTACTGTAAGCAGTTATGAAAGAGCTGTTTGTGAAAGGTTATTTGTATTCTTTATTGTTCATATAGAACCCACTGCTTTCTGCTCACTGGTGAGTTAGCCTATGAATCAGTGTTCAGCACATCAGGCTGGCAGCTGTGTGGGCATTGCACTATGGTAGTTGTTATTTGCACATTGTTAATCATAGGCAATGCATCCTTAAATTGTTTAACTGTGAGGTGTTATACAATTGTACTCTGGAGAGTTCTTTAAGGTAAAAAAGGCAAAAAAGAAACAGCATGATGGGATGTGCAGTACTAGTAGAGAGAACCAAATATTTAAAAGCACTTTTTTGTTAATTTATGATTTGCTGCATATAAGGAATAAAACAAAATGTGCCGTGTTATGCATGCCCACTGCACCTCTCGGGAGCGCGCACAGCGTAAAGCCAAAACTCAGACATTTCAATGATTTGTACGGCAAAGTTAGGTTTGGAAACTGTATCATTTCCTTTTTGGAGGGCATGCATAGGCATAACACCGGAGCCTCGCTGCGAGGAAACTTTGGCGCTGTTCCGAGTTTGTTCTAATCGGCTAAAACTGCTTTCAGATTTTTCCGTCATTGTTAAAAAAAATCCATCATAGATGGAAAATATTCGGTTAAAGTGAGCTAAGCAGGGAGAAATGAGACAGACACAGTTGTTGTCTGTTAAAGGCTTTGAGAAATCCTCCTGGCCTCTAGAAGTCTGGAGAGGACTGAAAAATATTCCTCTGAAAGAAATAAAGATGGAAAAGACAGACACCTCATCTGGTTTCACAGACAGAGGGCAACACGAGGCCAACAACATGTCAGTCTGCAGAGAGAGTGAGAGAGACAGGGATTATGTCAACAACTGGTGAACCAATGAGGTGCACCGTGAAACGAGAGGACGTTAGAACGGCATGAGTATAAATCGTCATGTTTCAAAACACAGACTCCTTGTAGTTTGAGTGAAGGAAAGTGCACCGAGAGGACAGAGAGAAAAGAGAGGAGATGGATAATGTCATGGATCGCTCTCACTAATAAACCCTGACGGACATTTAAAGGCTGTACCCAATTACTGGATGGTATCATCACACACACACACACACACACACACACACACACACACACACACACACACACACACACACACACACACACACACACACAC